AAGTTAAATAGCTAGGCACATATCCTGTCCGTTAAAAAATATATTTAATATAATTTTATTCTCAATAAAGTAGTTATCCATCTTCATACTAATATCATTTTTCTACATTTACCTCTATTTAATATAATATTTTACTCTAAAATAAGTATAAAATGATTTATTCATTCAAAATACTTAAAAAAATGCAATGATCACACAATGCCTTACATTTTTTTAACATTCAGTTGAATTTTTCCGTGTGCATGTTTTTAAGATGCTATGTTCATTATATTTACGGTGATGAATTACATTGTATATATAAAATTAGTTAGATTCAACGAGTTGGTTATTTTTCTATATAAGTAATTTACATGTTATACATTTTAATACTATATTAATCATGTAGTGTCAGTGTAAAAGATGAAATATATCAATTTGTTTGACACGGAACCAATGTTTCTTATCTTGTTAATTAAGCTTGCTTCAAATTTATCCTTCTTGAAGAGTTAATATTTATTATTTAAAGGATAACTCATTTCAATTTTATTTGGCCAAAGGTGTTCCAAATTTGTTGCACACAAAACTCTCTTGCCTTTATTGCCTACTCCCTCTGTTATTTTCCTTTTATTTTTGGGACAATTGTATTTTTTTTTGGTTCCTTTATTGAGTGTTCACACACACACACTTTATCTTTGCAACATCACTATGTTACATTGAATTTTCTAATATATGGTGCTAAATTTTCTTACATTTTGGATTAGCTAGAATGAAGGATTGCACAAAATGATAATACCAAGGATTTAGAGCACTTTATGTAATACATAAAATCATTCCATAAGAGAATGAATGAAAATGTTTATAGATTAATATGGATCAGATTGAAAAGATCTCATGTTAGGTTTATTGATTTAATTATTTTTATATATAAGTAGTTTACATGTACTTAAATGATGTGTTAATTGCATGGTATTAATTCAAAAAATGAGCTATATCATTTTGTTGCACATGGAACCAATATTTCATTTTTTAAGCTCACATCAAATATTTTTCTTGACATCTTAAATACGCTTTTTTGTTTAAATGGTGATTTAAATATGTATTATTTAAATATATATTACGCAAGGTAATTGTTGAGTAATTCATTTTGAATTTCAAACTACAGAGTTGAGTTTTTATCACCTATGAAAATTAAATTTATAATTTTATTATAAATTCTTCATTTTCATTGTTATTACAAGTACGATATTTATAATTAAAAAGTAGATATATTAAACCATAAATTTCAAGTCACAATTGATTATAGTTGTCTACATCATTCAATGCTAACAATTTTAGTATCTTTAAAATATTTTTTTAAATAGTTAGATCGCTATAGAACTATAGTGATATATCTTGAATTTGAATTCTCTAAATGATCTAAATATATTCATTCGATGAGTATATTAATCATATCATTAAATAATATTAATACATGAAAATTATTAATATATATTTTCTTATAAAATTTTAAAATAACTCACACAGTGAAAAGACTCCTTGCATTCGTTGTCGTCTTTAAAATTTTAAGATTTGATTGTTTTTTAGTATTTTATAACAAAATGTCTTATAACAATCTGAGTAAAGTGAATAATTATTATTGTGTCATATGTGATACTCATTAAACGATAGGATTTATCCAATCATTAAATCCAAATATGATGTGTCTCACAAAATTATTATAGTTCTATCGTAATCTATTGACAAATTTTATTATATATTTTACCTTTTTTAAATATAAGCAAACTCTTCATATGATTTGTTGTCATTCTTTTACAAGTAAAACAATAATTTTCAAACGGTATTTATGTCATCTTTCTTTAATTACTCTCTATTAAATTATAGTATCATTAAATTAGAAAAAAATAAAATGCTAATCACAAGTACATCTTAATTCAAATTTTTCAATTTCAAACATAATTATCAAGACTAACCAATTTTTTTAAAATGTATGAATTGATTTAAATTTTTCTCACATAAAAAAGCAAATAGAAATAAGTTGACTGTTTTAAATAATAAATTACTATATTTTATATTTTATTATTGAAATTTGTATATCGTATATAATTAATTATTTTATGCATATTACAAACTATGAATAACAGATGATAAATATCCTATAATTAACTAGATTTTGAACCGTGCATATTTTTTACTTGTTTAAAAGTATTGTAAACATTTATTTGACATATTGTTTTGAATATTTGTAATGAATTTTAATTATTTGAAGGGTGAGCACAAAATAAAAAATAAAATAATTTAAAATAATTTTTTTTCGGGTACTCGTGATATGTTATTTTACGCAAATTTTAAATTTAATTTAAATTTATTCTATTTTAAATTTTGTTTTACTCGAATATATTAAAGATATAAAATAATTTTTAATTTTATTTTATATAAAACTTGTTATTTTATTTGAGTTAAGATTTGAAATAATAGAAGTTATCCATCAAATTATACACATATTTTTTATAATTTATTTAAAATAAGTTTGTGATTTCACTGCACTAAAAAATTCTATTTTATGATTTATTATTTAAAATTATATTTTATAATATGATTAATTATCTTATGCATATACAAAATAAAACCAACACATAATAAATAGAGTTCCTACCCTTATAAAAAACATTAGGTCTTATATTATTTTTTATTATGAATCTTACATTTGCAAATATGTTTTAATGGGGATCTCACATGAAATTTTAGTTTACGGGAATTATTTTTTTAAGAAAATATATGGTTACCATATGAACTTTACACATATGTAGATTATTTTTAAAGTGTTTTTATCATGGGTTCCACACCTGTTTTTTAAATTTTTGTTGTGGATCCCACGTGAATAATTAATATATGCAGGTTAAATTAAAAAAAAAAGAAAAATTTACAGCACTATTTGTCCAACTATAGATAAATAGTACCGCGTGATGGAGTTTTACTCTCTCTATATATAGATATAAATTTTTCAAAAAATGTTTTAATAGTTTTGAATGGAGAGGGAGAGAGGTTAGGTCTTGCTCTTCTTATTGTTATATTTTAATATTTTTATGCCTTTTAAGAAAATCTTTTATTACACTGAGCCCTTTTCACGATTTCTAACGGCGTCTGTTGCGGTGCTACCTCTCTGACAACGCCACTCAGTGCCCCTTAGTAATTAGCGTCTTTTCATGGGATACTGCATCAGAAATTATTTTTACGTGGAAACTTTGAAAAAATGTGACAACCATGACGATCGGATTCCCTTCGAGCTAAGCTTGAATTGTAGGATTTTTTTTTTTTATGTTAAGACAGTGAGAAAAATTCTGTCTAATTTTTTCTTAAAAAAAATACACGGCGACAGCTTTGAGAGGTTTGAACTGTACGTATAAGTCTGGTAATGTAACGGCAAAATCAAAATTTAATGGCAATGGTCTTGAACTTCAAAATATATATATATATATATATGGAGGTGTAACATCAGGAGAAGATAACTAATTAAGGACTTGCCAACTTGTAACAAAATTCACGTCATTCAGTCTTGAAAATGATTTGTATTTAAGTCAATTCATGCAAACCCTAGAAGATTATTGAAGTGTTTTTATGTAATTTTCCATTATTGAGAGCATCCATTCATCTTGTATGCTCATGCAACCAAGTGCAAAATAGTAACAAATTCGTGATCATTTTGTCTGCCATGTTCCCAGGTTTCCGATATACATGCATGTCTATCTTTAAACGAGCTATCACGAAAAGAGGGGTGATTAGTCGCACGATCGTTTTACAGATTCTCTCTAATTATTACACATATTTTATAAAAAAATAAAAACTTATCAATACACTTTAAATTTATTTAAATTTTCAATCAAAACATCTTTGTTCATTTTCTTGTCAATCATATGCATTTAAAATTGATAAAAATACTCTTTCCATTCAAAAAATATAAGACATTTTTAACTGAATTTTATCCGTTAATAAAGTAATTATCTATTTTTAAATTAATCTTATTTTTTTATATTTACCACTATTAAATATTTTATAATAAATATAAAGTCATTATAAATAAGAATACTTTTTTTTTAATAATGATTATATTTTGAAGAATGAAAAATATTTTATATTTTTTAATAAAGGAGTAATTCACTAAGGTATTTAGTTTTATAAGTCAAGATAATGGCCACGTGGCTACCAGCGACTCCTTCTTTTTTTGACCTGAATGCTATGAATGATTCCTTAGATATTAAGTTTGTCGTTGTTTTTTTATCTTCCAGGTAAATATAAAAAAAGATAATTCACTAAAGAAATTAAATAAAATTATAGAATACGTAAACTTTGATTTTAATACACGTTTAGAATCTTTTTCAAAAATCTAAAGGACATATCATTGCAAACGAGCTAAAAAATAAAAAAACGGTTATGGGCCGAGCGAGTCAGTTGATTAGCCCTTAGATTTGCCACTAACATAATAGGCATATTCTTGGCAAACTCGAGGCAAGCAAATATATTGTTTATTTATTCAGATAATGGCCACTCTAGTGAATAATCAAACGACATCTGTCCACTTTCTTTCGCTAAATGGATTCCGTAGTACCAGTTCCTGATGCTTTCTATCAAACAAAAAGCCAATACCGAGCCCATCAACAAGTCATGTATATTTCATCCCATCATCAACCAGGCTCTTTCAAATTTTAATAGACCTAACAGTTGAGATTCCTTCTTTATTATCCTCTTTCTCACCTCATTTATTGTCATAATCACACTAGAATAATTTTAACCCTCCGTAAGCCCGCCGGCTTTTAAACGAAGTAACTGATCAAAGCAATATTTTTCTTGGCAAGACAATTAGAACCAAGACAATCAGAAGAATGGTTTAAGTTTATTCGTTAATCACCGTGTAAATTATTTCATGATACCAACTTGCTGGGCATATTTTCAGAGGAATAGTTTATAGTTTATTTATTTTGGGGCAGCATCATATCTTATTTGTGGAATATGGCTTAGCTTCTTACCTTGAATGCCTCCAATAGTCATATGTCGTATGCATGCGTAAAGCTATTTTATGTTAAGAATGAATCAACGGTTGTTTCCAACTATCAGGGAATCTTGGCCTTCGACTTGGGTGCACGAGTATTGTTGGGCGGATTTTAACAGGAAAACCTTAAATCTTTTGCTCTCTGTTTCTCGTTTACCTGCTTCACCTTCTCTGTGCTCACTTCAGTCCTCATAGCCATTCTACCTCTGTTGCTTCTTCAGCTTTCTGATCTGTTATTATTCAGGTAAAATGTTATGAATCTTCAGCTTCCAAGTTTTGCTTCAAATTTCGAGGGTTAAACCGAGCCATTCATTTCGGATTTCATAGTTCATTTTCTGCGATTCTTTTCGTCTTTCATTGTTTCAACCTGGTATAGCTCTTTCTCTTCCCCCCTTACTGATTCCCAAACAATAGGTGGACATTTTCTACCTATCTTTTTCTTTTTTCCCCGGAGTTTTTCAGTAGTTGGTAGCAGCTGCCTTTTTTGGGTTCTTCCTTTTCTACTCAGTAGTGTGTTTCTTACCCAGCACAGCCACTTAATATTCCTTCGCTTCTCCTTTCATCTTCCGACGAATCAAACAGAGAAGAGTCGTTACCTGGAAAAGCACCGGCTTCCCCTCGCTTAGTTTCCTCTCTCCTTTTCTTCCCTCCCGAGCTTATTACATTATCCTGCGTTTTTTTTCCCGCTAATCTTTGTCAAGATATTGCTTCTAAATCTTGAAGTGTTGGTAACTTTGCGTTATTTAATATCAATGCTTGGCGATTGTTGCCTGCGTATTCACTGATCACTCTTGTTATAAACAAAGCAAATAGTTTGCGAGCAGAGGTGCGCTTCAATGGATTAGTCAGATAATTAGTTGTTGGGCTTGTTGTTTCTAAATCGACCGTGGCTAGCTGTTCTTGCTTGCTTTGATTCCTATTTTTATGCCGACTAGGAGGTTCTGCGTGTTGTAGTATCGTTAAATTACTCGATCAGTGTGCCTGTTCACGGAACAATGTCGAATGCTGTTATGTTTGATAGGGTGTACGAAGCAGGTAGTTTCCTCGGGTGAATTTTAATGTCAACACCGCTGCTCGGCAGAGGGGAGGACAAAGGTCAAAGCAATGTCAATTTATTGGCCTCCTCAACTACCATGGAAAGTGTTTGCCTCATCAGCTCCAAATTGAAAGAACGCGACTACATGGGATTATCTGATTGTTCTTCAGTGGACAGCTCAGATCAGTCCTTCTCGAATGAGAGTAAAACTAGGCTGAACCTAAAAGCAACAGAGCTGAGGCTTGGGCTTCCGGGATCTCAGTCTCCTGAAAGAGAGGACTCAGATAATCGCTGCTTTGAAAGTTCAACTCAATTTGATGAGAAACCTCTTTTTCCCTTGCACCCTTCAACGGATGATCAACACCGCTCGTCAAAGAATGCCATTTTGGGTAACAAAAGAGGATTCTCAGAAGCTATGAATGAGTTCTCCAAGGTAAGTTACACTTAAGAGACATGTACTTTTTTGCTGCGCATTACGCTAACAAGTCCCTCATCCTTTATGCAGGGGAATTTCCTGGCAAATTCGGAGGGGAATACAATTTTGTCACCCAGAACTTCTCCTAATTTAGGATTGAAAACTAGTTATATGCTTGATAAAGCGAAAGAAGCAGCACCAACAAAGGTGGAACCAGAGAGTCCCCATGTTGTGAATGAAACCAGACCAAATCATAATGGTTCTGCAAATAAAAACAACGGTGCACCTGCTACTAAGTAAGTGGAAAGTGGGGATTTGATGTTGTAGTGTTGATGCTGATAGTGATATATGATCTTGCTTCTGTGGCAGGGCACAGGTTGTGGGTTGGCCTCCTATACGATCACAAAGAAAAATTTTATTGGCTACTACTGCAAAGAACGCTGAAGAAGTAGATGGAAAAGCACTGTTTATTAAGGTCAGCATGGATGGTGCTCCATATTTAAGGAAAGTAGACTTGAAGAATTACAGTGCATATCCAGAACTATCTTCTTCTCTGGAGAAGATGTTCAGTTGCTTTACCATAGGTAGGAAAAAGCTTTGATTTGATACATTGAAATTTAGCACTATTGTAGTAAAGAAGAGATTCTTGATTGGTTTGCCTGGATCCAGTTACTGCTTGTTTTGGCATGATTTCAGGTCAATGTGGATCCAACGGAACTTTGGGTAGCGGGATGCTGAATGAAAGCAAGATGAGGGATCTGCTTCGAGGGTCTGAATTTGTTCTTACTTATGAGGACAGAGAAGGTGACTGGATGCTTGTGGGTGATGTTCCCTGGGAGTAAGTACTGATCGATTGATAAATAATTTCCAGGGTAGCAAATTTATATTACAGAGCTGTAATACTTGCAGCATTGTGGTTTAAAAACTGCTACTCTTATTATCTCGTATAATTTGGTTTGCAGAAGTTATGTGTCTGAAAGAAAGAGAGAGAAAACACATCTGCTTTTTTGAGTTTTAAGCTTCCAAGTCACATCGCTATAATCTTAATGCAGACATGCATGATTGATGCTTTTGTTTGCCACTTTAAATTTTTGTCCAAAACGAATTTGTATCATTTTAATTTGATTGTCACCGGTGGTTATGTACTCGTCTCCTAAAATCTTTGCAGGATGTTTGTTGAAACATGCAGGAGGATGAGGATCATGAAGAGTTCTGAAGCTATTGGTTTAGGTTAGTATTCCAGTTTTAACACCACACTACTGACAACATATCTTAAGCCAGTACTTTCTGGGAACAAGGTTCTCGTTGAGTGGGCTCAAAAAGTGAAGTAGACTGTAATTGTTGATAGTTTCTTGCGTTTCATGAATTAAATTTTAGGAATTAGTACACTAACCTCGGGACAAAATATCCCAAGGCCCCAGAAACTGAATTCTAAAATCCCAATTATCATTTAATATATAAACCAGAAGTTCCTCAGTTAAGCAGAATTTGACTGTAAAGCAGAAGTTGAAAACCTGTCAACTTCTACTCAGGGAAGCTAAAGCATTTTGAATGATACTTGACAAAATATCTAACTGCTCTAGTATTTAGCTTGTTTTGAGTTTTTACTCTATGTGATTCAAAATCACTTTTCTTGGCGTTCTTGCAGCTCCCAGAAAGAAATAAAAGAGGAGAAACTGGGCAGAATTACACGCACTGTGCATCAAACACCGGTACGAGATTAGCAGCTTAGTTCGGGGCGATGTGGGGGAGAAGTTGAAGGGCATGTGATTACTTGAAGGCACGATGATCTGGACAATTTCATGTTAAGCTTCCTTAACCGTGATATTATTTACCATGTCATTTTTATGTTGTAACGGTGTTCATGCTGAGTTGGCAATAAGCTATAGGAGAACTTAGATGTGGGGTCTTGATGTGACGCAGGATCTGTAGTTTGCACATTGCGTCGTCGGTTCAACCTTGTCTGTATGTATGTTTGTGTGATCGAACAAAGAAAAACCATGCGTCACTGTCACGAACCTTTTACAGTTTTACTGTCGCCATTCATTACCTGCCAGCGGCACTGACATGTTTTGGAAGAATTTTCATATCGTAGTTGGGGTATAACCAGAAACTGAAACGAGCAGAAACGTGATGGGTTTTTACCTGTTGTTTTGTGAGTTCTACGATCTTATGGAGGGGGAATCAAATCTGAGAATTATTCAAAAAATTATTTACGAACAATGATCAATGCCAACTTTCATCTAAAAAAAATAAGTTACGTTTTTATCTTAACAATAATTCATTGTGTATTGATTTTTATTTGTAAATAATTTTTTTAATTGATTCTTGGATGTGATTTTTTCTATTATATTAACGTTATGCTTGGTGATGGTATGGATCTCACCTTAAACTAATGAGATATGATGTCCCACACTTAGATATGGATGTTGGGGTATCTAGGAGCCAAGCCTGTGAATCTCTTATCTTATTGTAGCAAGGTTGTAGGGCATTGTGTTGGGATTAAAGTTCAACTTGTGGGCTCATGGAAATATTTAAAAATATGATGTTATTTCATTATTGAGCTTAAATAAAGTAGTTTAATTTTAAAATTAAAATTTTAAAGCTTAATGTGTATTACTGTAATGAAAATTATACTGTATTAGGACTAGAAAATATGATGAGAGATGTCAAATTATAAGTTTCACAAATTAAATTTATAAAAGAAGAAGAAGAAGAAGAAAGGTGTGGTCTCTCCGAATTGCACAGACGTTAAAACTTCATATAGTGCAAGCCTCAACGATTATTCCACCACTTACACGTCTCTACCTGACAATAAGTATTTGGGATTCAAATACGCCCCTGCATCTTAGTTCTTGTTCCTTGACATGGAAGTATGTTGTTATTTGAGAACTTGATATGGTAGAATTGATATACAGGACATTCAACCGGGCATAATTACATGTTATTAACTCGTTAAAATAATTAAAAAGAATTGCTCCCTCTGTTTCTATTTAAATAGTGTTGTTTATAAGTTTATTTTGTCATTAACTATAAAAAGTATTATGATTTTTTTAAATAATTAAATAATTTTTCCTTTATCTTTTTAAAAAGGAAAGATATTGATTGTATGCTTTATCTACCACTGTCATAATATTAATTAATATAATTAGGGAAGAACTGAAAAATTACTGTGATTTTAAATTGTATTGGTGTGTGATTACATCTTATATATAGGGATAAAAAGAATATGAGACAAGGCACGCACAATGGCTATGTAAGGTCTCCTTTACTAATCTTATATTAACTTTGACATTAAGGTAATTGAGGGATTAACTCAAAATGATTATCAAGTTTGTAAGTTTTACAAAACAGAATTTTAAGTTTTCAAAATTTAAAACACTTTAACATACTTTCATTGATATAAAAATTAGAGTAGAAAGTGTATGCGAAGGCATGGGATGTTAAACAAATTGAAGCATTTGCAATAAGGTTGAAAATTAAAAATAGTGTAGTTGAAGATAAAGGCATGCCGTGGCATATTTGCCTGGCACATTTTTGACGGTAAAGGAACATGACACATTTTTTATAGCAGTTGGAGCAAACTTTTCGTGTGTCTCATTTCTTTATCTAACATCTAATTGAGGTGATCTAAGTGCCTACAAAGAAGTTTTACTTAGCTCTAACTAATAACACTGATTTTACAATCAAATTATTTCTCAATAAAAAACTGACACTAGTATTTTGACCCTATTTTAGATTTTACAATCAATACGTATACATCATAGGGCCTAAAATACACAGTTTAATTTAATAATCTAATAGTGCAAGTAAACCAGTAACATGTATTTTCCTAGTTGGTAATATCATGCAAGTTATACATATAATAATCAAAATGAAAATGAGGCCTACAAACAAGATAGTAATCTTATGTCTTAGACTATTTCTTTTAATATTAACCTGATGAACTAGCTCTTGTTATATTTAAAAGAGAGGGTTGAGTACAACTACTCAATAATCAATTGATGCCTAACTTATACTGGTGCATGTTGACTACTTCATATGTAAGGCATTCATGATCATACTCGTGTCAAGTTAACATGTTCAAAACACGTACATGCAATTTTCATCATTAATATCCATTATCAATCATTTGCAATTCCATTTTCACAATCATGATGTTAGTCATATATATTATCATATGTTCTCAATATAAGGGACATAATATAGACAATCATGTACCCTTTTATCACAAATTGTATGATCAAACCTCACTTATATTTTTCTTATGCTTTCAATATGAAATCATGGGCTATTACACACCGAGGATCGTTTATGAGATGAGACTATCTTGGACATTCACGTGAAAGTAATTACCTGGCCAATGTTGCTTGACTTACCCGTGGTTTACGATTTCCCCTAAATCTCACACAGTAAGGTGTAGTTCTCCCTAAATTAGTTTCCTTATCAAACAAGTAAAAAATAAGAGTGGGTTCGAGTCCTTTATTACATAATAGGTAATTCCTCATCAAATAAGTAGGACAACAAATATAAATAAATCTAAGCAAACCATTAAGCTCCAATGATAGTCTTATCATATGATTTTAAACTCACTGCTCCTCGTCTTATGAGAACTCCCGTGTCTTATGATTATGTGATATATAAAATGCGATATTTTTTAACATGTAAATTACTCACTTTACAAGTGTGCTTAATATTATCATCATACTCACATCACACGTGATTAGCTTATAAACATATAATAACAAATCATTAAACTTCATATCATATCACATCATTAAACTCTACAAAAATAACATATTATTAAACTATACCTATAAACATTCACTGAACTCCACATTTTATACATCTGTTGAATTTCACAAATATTATTTCATAGAACTTCATATAAATCATGTCGTTGAACTCTGCGAACATTATAATGTTTGATTTTTAAATATTTTATACCACACTTGCATTTCAAATAATTTCACACGCTTTGATTATAATGTATAGATCAATAAATCAATTAACATATAAAAACTCAAGAGATATTTTCACTGATTACCTTAAACCTTTGAAAAGTTGAAGTTTTACCTCTCAATTACCTACTTTCAAGCTTTCACGAAGCTTGAACGGTGCCAAATTATGGTCACTCTACATTTAATCATAATATTAATTATTAATATCCCTTTTATGATAATTTTCAATATATAAATCAATGTTTTCAACTCTCACAACCTAATTCCCTCACATATAAGAGTACTTATAAAGTTTATTAACTTTCTCTAACTTACATTAACTTTATTAAACTCTTAATTAGCCATTAATGGCTTCATATTACTCCAACCACCCTATTTATGATGGATTTTTGGATATTTATTACTTTATAGCTATCAAAACTTACAATGTTATAAATTTTAAGTTTGAATAGCCTAAACAACTCATATTAACTTTATTTAAATCAATAGGTTTGAAACTATAGCCTCTATAAACTAAAAGTCATCTTTTTTAATAAACCTTAACTTTCATGTTCAATAAAATGGAAGAGAGAAGAGAGATTTAAGCTTGAAAAACTTACCTCTGATATCTAGAAGCTCAAAAACACTCCTAATACTTATAAATCGCAAGTCCTAACAGAGCTCCTTGCATTTCTTTAGTTTTTCTCCTTTCATTTATCTATTTTTCTAACTTTGATGCAGACTTATTTTTATAAAATTTTATTCATATGTTGTAACACATAGTACATAGAGGCCTTCCTCGCTTTTTACTAGTTTGTGCGCCACAGCATGCTATGCACACATCACGACATGTGGTTCAAAACCATTCCCTTTTGTTTTCCTTAATTTTTGATGTAGGGTGGCTCAACTTTGCTTCGAACTCAATCATAGGGTTGAAATCACAACCTAAAACATTCATTAACTCTCTATAACTACATGTCACATTAATTAACTTAATTAACTTCACTTACTTAGTTAATTAAAGGTTAAACTTTTCACGACATCACATGAAGGCCCATTCTAAAATTTAATAAAAGAGAAATATTTGAACCTTGAACTCTAAGTTGAGATATGATATTTTCTATGTAAATACTTGTTAGTGTGAATTTATGAGTAGATAATGGATTTGAGTTTGATTTTTCTTTCTTCAAGATGAATCACGAGTGGCTCATTGACCATCTTGAAGGTTTAACAGATTATGAGTATTGTGAATGGCTAAAAGTTTCAAATGAAAAAGCAAAAATAGCAATTCATGTATGAACTCAAACCAAATTTATCATGATAATTTTAAAAATAGCTCACTTACAAAGTGTACGGGACAAGCACTTGTTCTATCTTTTCATATACTATGAATGCATAAAAAGGGTCATTATTTTAGGCTCTTATAAGTCAGTTGATTAATGCTTTCACTTTTATCATAATCCATATTTCATCTAATATAACAACTATGGTGATAAGACATATTATTTTCACATATTTATTAATTAATTATGACCATTTTACACACCCAATAAGCTTCAATATACATTCATATCACATTTTTAGTGCAAAATTACCTAATTATTGAATTACATGCATTATGAGTATTTTGATTGCAAAATGCATTTTTTCACCAAAGTGAGGTTAAGTTTGCAATTTATATCTTTTAATAGGTTAAAGATGAATGATCAAATTGGTTTTTATTGATTCATCCTGAGTTAAAAAGTTACTAGGAAAAGACAACATTTTAAGGTTGTCTCTTTAAGGGTTTTCAATTAGTTTTTTATTTTAGTTCAGATGTATGCTTGTCTACACTTGTATCTTGTGAGGCTTTTATATTCACTTTCCCTTAATCATTTTATTACTTTGGATAAATTAAATATTTTTACCTTAGTCCAGTTAAATAAAAGTCATATTGTGGTTCTTTGATTGTTTGATTTAATTGTGACTTTGGTAGATTTATATAATGATTTGAGACATATTCAAGGCAATCAAAGGAGGCTTCTAAAGGGCTAATTAGGCATAACATATGCTAAACAAAAGAGGTGCAAATTACTCTTGGAATGATGCATTGTATTAGATCAAATCTAGTTTTAGAAACACCACTAATTTCCTTCCAAAATGTTTTATAGTTTTAGCCTCTTGGACTTGTGGTTAAAGACCACAACCACTTTATAAGTTTTCATTACTTTTCTCTCATTTTCTCTGAGCCATTTTCGTGCTCCTCACTCTCCATTCAGATCACTCTCTCATTTTCCCACATTCAAACTTTTCCTTTCATTTTTTCACTTATTTTTCAATTTTTTTATCTAATCAATCACTCATATCTTACTCATTTGTCATCTAAATTGCATAAAACCACTTTTATTCTTCTCCTCTTCTCAATTTCATCGAAACCCTCATAATTCTAGAAGGATTCAAGCTTTCAAATTATCATTAAAGGAGATGGAAGGGAATGGCCTAGTTGGGTTCAAACTTAAAACTTTGAAGATGATGATTATTGGCTAGATTTCTCAAGGGATCTTAGAGGAAGGATGAATAGATGATGAATCACTGGGTTTCACGTAGCTAAGATTTTTTATTCTCTTAATTTCTTTCATTAAAATTGATGATCAACACCTTAGTCTAAAGTTAATTTATTATTAGCTTGTAATTCTAGTTTGAATTTATCTTGAAGTAATAAGAAATACTTGTTTAGTTGACTATATTCTTATGAAATGCCTGATTTGATTTGGCTATCTCTAGATTAATGCAATGTCTTGTGTTTTTATATTGATGATTGTCCTTCTTTGCTCTTACATAGTCTCGCAAGTAAGGTTTAGATATTATAGAGAGCTTCTCATAGTTTTAGGGTTCACTCTAACTAATGATTAGTCATGGCTTCATCAGGGTCTAGCTAACCAAAACACTTGATCACATTAAAATCAAACCAGGGAAATAACTTAAGGATATTAGTCGATGATTTAGGGAATTGAACTAGTTATATTAAGTTTTCTAAGATAGTCTTTATAGGGAGCTGCCACATGGCCAAGACCAGAACTCACACAATAAAGCCATGAACAACATAGCTAGTATGACCTATTGTTCATTGTTTCCCTGCAGTTAATTGATGTTTATGATTTTTAAACGGTAGGGGCAACATTGTTTTGATTTAATTAGTTTAGAATGAACATTGCTATGATGAATAGTTTAAGGATAATATTGATTCTCCAAGAATAGTTTAGGGGTAAAGTGATACCTTAATTCTTTTTTGTATGTACAAGAGTTTAGGTGAGTTGAACTCTGAAGACTCATTAAGTTGGGACATGTCTCTGTACTTAAAATTTTTTTACAAAGAACTATTTGTAAATTGCCACCAATAAGATTTTCACGTGGGTTATAAGCAAAATTCTTGCCAATTGAACTAATATTTATTGGCCACTCATTTTATTTTATCTTCTAGTCTAAATAAACTATTAAAATTTGAGGTAATATTAGAGGGATTGAAACTTTCATCTTGTCTTGTTCAACTACACATTTAGATAAAAATGCAATGCAATGGTGATTGCTATGACTTTGTTTGGTAACATATAGAAAATGTTACAATAAAACTTATTTTTCATTCAATTATTTAAAAAATAAATAAATAAATAAATAGACTATCACGCCTTATGCCATTTCTTCCCCTTTCTCTTCTCACTCAACCTTGAACTTCATTTAGCCAACACAAGCTCCCCCTATCTTCATCTTCTTGTGATGATCAAATGTAACACAGTAATATACATAAATCAAATTTAAAACATGAGCCTGTTCTCACCATTTTGTTGAAGTTTGAAACATGATTTAAAATTTAGATTTGGAGCAAAAACTTCAAATTTATTAATGTTAAAATCCGAAGCTCAAATTTAGTAGAGCTCCATTCATAAAGGTAGACTCTAGTGGAGCTCCGTTCACAGAGGTCGTTAATGGTGATGCTCCTACAAGTCCCCACTTGCAGAGGAGGAGGAAGGATCATGGATGTTGATAAAGAATCTATGATGTGGTAATAAGGAGTTGAGGTAGGAAGAAGGAAGGAGGCAAGGTGTTGTCGGTTGTTGCTCATTGCAAGTACACAGGTCGTAGCAGATAATATAAGATAAGTAAAGTATCATTCTCTTAAGGATTTGTTCAAAAACAATGATGGTTAAACAAAAGATTAAGTAAATTCAATTAAGTTAAGCCACATAAAGTTAGGTAAAAATGATTTTATAAATTAAACTAATATTAAAAAATAAAGAAGAGCAATTGATTCATAAACTTCAAACACAAATTATGACTTATGATTATTTATCCTTCTTGCATTTCATAACACTAAAATTATCCCCTCTCATAAATATTTTTAATGAAAATAAGTGCCAACCTAGGGTTCTAAAAATACTTAGACAAGCTTTCTTAAGTCATGAACAAGCGTTTAGTTAAATGAATTGCTTAATCTCTTATTACAATTAGTAAAACTCAATTTTAAACACCAACTCTAATATGGCTATGTAAGGCTAACAAGTATATATTTATCTTACTAGCAAAACCATCCATTCAACATGTAAATATCAAGTTTTTGCACTATTTTATCTAAGTTCTACACTCAACCTAGCTGTTTCAAGCATCAATTAAGTGAGCCCAACATGTAAATGGTGGCCAATCACTTAGAAGCATTAAGAAAAGAGTAAAACACACACACACACACACACACACACACATCACTAATCACAAAAAGAGAGAAGGAACTTAATATTAATCTATACAAAAGTTTAAAATAATCTTAGAGCAAAGAGTTTACTACTCATAAACATTAAAAAGCTACAAATACACAAGATATTCACAGCTATTACAATATTACAAGAAGGAAAGGAAGATGAATAGAAAAACCAAGGAAAAGGAGCTCCAAATGTCTTCAAAACTCTATTTTCTTACTCCAAGCACTTCTAATGCACAAGCCTTAGCACACCCAAGCTCTAAATGTGTCTAAAAGTTTGAAGAATGCGTTTTGGGTGAAGTTCTCAGCATATATATGTCCTAGCCAATCAATTTTTGATAAATAAAATGTAGCATTTTTTTGATAGCGACGAAAGTTGGAAACGAAAGTTTGGCAGTTTTGAACTGTTTTTCCAATTAATGAAATTTATCTTTTTTGCACTTGATTTCCTCATTCAAAAGCATTCAAAAAACATCAACAAAGCTCCAGAAATATATCTAATCAAGTCTTAAACCAAAATAATATGAAATTAGGTTGAAAATATTAAATTAAAGATAAGAATGTAAGCCCAAAGCCAAATGCATATTTTCCTAATTTGGACAATACAAATATATACAAATAAAGTAACATGGATTAAAATCTAAAAAAATGTGATGAAATAACATGAAATTTTAGAATTTAACACCGACAATGGCAACGTCAATGCAGCAAGGGGAGGAGAGGAGATGTTGCCAGCGATAGCAATGGTGGTGTAGTGGATGTATGGACAATGAGGGAGGAGTGACTGGGGGAGAAAATGATATGAGATGTCAGGGATAAAGAAAGAAATTAAGGTTAAAATAGACATTTGGTGAATGATTGTAGGATGATAATCAACATTCACAAGAGGAACCTATGAATGGAGATGACCATAGAATGTACAATCATTTTTACCATCAAGATGTCTAACCAAGTACACATAGAATAATAATGAGGCAAGTAATATTATTACACATATGCTGGGGTTGAATTAAATGGGTTGTTTATTATTTAAAATTTTATCCAAGGTGTAATTTAGTCCCAATTAATCTAGTCATCATAGTTTTAAAATTTCAAATAACTTAAACATGTTCAAATAAATGGTTTCAAAATGTCAATTAAATTCGGTTAACATTCAACGTTAATCTAAAAAACAATAATAAATAAAAAACGACATATTTTAAGTCAAAGGTTATTTGGCATGCACAACACAGTCAAGGCAGGAATATTATTTATTAGATGTTTTGAAATCACAAGGATTAAACCGAATTAATACTAATTAAAGCAAATAGTGAACCAAAACTGCCAATTTTATTATTTATTTATTTAGACTATAAATGAAAGTGATTTTCCTTTTCCACTGACAAGGGCAAGGCAAACCACATTTCCGATCGGCCCCCAGCCGAGGAGGCTAAATCGGGCGCTATCAAAGATCCCTTTCCCGCATCTTGTAATGCATAATTAAAAAAACCGTCTTGACAGTCTCCAGACTCCACATTACTCATGTACGTTTACACGTAATTGCATAAATTTCCCACTGGCAATTCGCATTCCGCACCATCTTGTCGTTCGCGAGCTGGGAATAAGAATCAGCCTCGCCAATTCTGCAGCTTCCATTCTCCTTATTCTTTTCCCTCTCGCTCCTCCCATAAAGCCTCCCTCATCTTTATTTCAAAACCCTAGGATTTTTTTTTTTTCTGAACCACCCAACCTCTTCTCTTTTCCTCTTCATATTTTACACTCTCGTCGTTGTTGTTTCAGCCATGGCCGCATTTCCCAGGGACCGAGCGCTCTCTCTTCTAGCCGCTGCCAACAATCATGGCGACTTAGCTGTCAAGATTTCGTCTTTGAGACAAGCCAAGGATATTCTTCTGTCAATGGAGCCGTCTTTAGCTGCCGACCTTTTCTCCTACTTGGTCGAGCTTCAGTCCTCCCCCGAAACCCTCGTTCGAAAGTTGTTGATCGAGTGAGTTCTTTGCCCCCAATTTTGAATTCAATATAACTTATATTGCTGTCTTGCTTCTCCAAAGTTGCAGGCATCTTTTCGACGTTCCTGTTATATCATTTAGACTATTTAAATTAAATTCACTGCATTGCTTTCCGCCTCAAACTTATTATGGGGATAGTTCCATTTTGCTTTCCTCGTAAAATATATTTCTATACGGGGCAAAGTTGCGGCTAGATTTCTGGTCATTTCTTGTGTTTTCAAGACTGCATTTTGTTCAGGCCATAAAAATGTGCATTTGTTTTACCTAGGGCATACAGGAATATATATATTTTTTTTGAACCGCTGTAACTTCTGTTTGGCATGTTTTTGGACAATGCATCCGTTATCTAACCAAATTTAGTACTTTGCTGCTGTCCACAAGAACCGGTTTAATCTTTGTCTTTCGCTCTATATCTGTGGCAATGGCTGGTGTCTTTCCTGGTATCTTTCTTTTTAAGATCTTCATTCTGTATTCCAGGGTAATTGAAGAGATAGGTTTAAGAGCAGCAGAGCATTCTCCAGCGCTAATGTCTGTATTATTAGCATTTTTACGTGATAGTGACACAATTGTTGTAAAGCAATCTATTGTTAGTGGCACATATATCTTCTGCAGTGTTTTGGCAGAGATGACAGTGCAGGTACTATTCAGCCCTCTTGTTGCCTTGATGCATACATGAAGACAAAGAGACTCATATTTGCTCTTCTTCCTCTTCTTATTTTTTTAATCTTAATCGGAATTTGTGTGAACACTCAGTTCTGTGTCTATCTTGTTGCCTCATGTGCTTCTTGTTCATGATGGCTCTCTTTGTCTACGTTCTCCTCAGTCCCTGGCTTCTATAAGATCAGGGATATCACAGGCTTGTAAAATACGGGATGGTTCATGTGAGCTTTAAGTTACTGTATGAAACTGACTTTATAAGCTATAACTAAGCCTAATGTGTTGTATGCCCTGGACTTAGTGTTTTCCCAAGATTAATTATGTTATACCTCCATACCAGAACAGATTTATATCGTGTTAAGAACTCCACAGCTAACTGTTGTTTGATGTCTATTTTTGAGGGAAAAAACTTCTTTTTTGACTTTCTTTCTTTCTTTCTCCCCACCACACACATACCTTTCTTCATAAATATTTCCACCATTGTACTTTTTTCCTCTTGTCAAGAAGTATAATGTCAATATTGTCGGCACTCTAGTTCTTCAGAATGGAACTGACTTTATTTATTTATATTTTTAATACAATATTAGCATTCATTTGGTTCATCAAACTGTTGTTATTTATGCATGATTTTTTATTTAAAGGCTTGAGTTACTTGATGAATTTTGTGTTGCTCCCCTCCTTTTCCCTTGCACTGGTTTGTAATAGGCTACTGACACTATTTTGGAAATCTGACAGTATCAACAATATGGTAAAGTTGAGAGGTGGTTAGAGGAGATTTGGATGTGGATGCTCAAGTTTAAGGATGCTGTAGTTGGGATTTCTCTGGAGGTATCTAGCTCCTTCATCTTTTATATCCACAGTTAATGCCGCACTTTGATTTTTAATTTTGTGCATATACCTGCTGTGCTAATATTATAAGGTTTTACAATTTTTAAATTGCCGCTTCATTACAGTTGATAAGTTATCGTGACATGCATGGTTGGTTATTTTTTGCATTCTCAACTTAATGAATCATAACTTGTACCACAATTCAACTTTGCATTTAAAGTTAATCAAATTGCTGAAAGAAGCGGATGGTTTTAAAATCTTAGTCTGCTTGACTTTTGCTTATGATCATGGGCAACCTGGGGGATGCTGAAGGGTTCAGTTACCAATTCCTTTCACCACAGATTCTTTGGGAATTGGGATATCTAAAATTTCTTGCAATTAGGGATATGGAATTCAGAATTTGGAGTAAATTTCATCTTTGTTGGCAGTATGCCGGTAATTTTTACTTGTCATCTTTGTCCTTGAATATGCATCTCTCTCTCTGTTTTTTAATTTCTGCACGTGTTATAATAATTTCATTTTGCAGATAGCTAACTTGACACAGGTTTATTTCTTAGCCTTCACTTGTTTAACTCCCTATTTCCTTATCTATCAAAACTGCGCAATTTTTTTTATTTTATTTTAGTCATTTACTTGAACTTGAGGTGGTGATGGACTTCATATTTTGCTGATTGGAGAGTTGACTTGCATGATATTGTAGCCTGGTTCAGTTGGAACAAAGTTGTTGGCGCTGAAATTCTTGGAAACACTAGTCTTACTTTTTTCATCTGACGTCAGTTATCCTGATAAGTCGCTTTTAGAAGGTATTTTCCTTCAAATTTCATGAGCTTAACATTTATACTATGATGAGATTAAGAGGACATAGAGTTAGCACGCAAGTAATTTGCTCTTATAATCAGAAGTAGATTTATTTGCATTAGTTTCAATATACTCATCCATTTTAATTTTAACATCAATGACACTGCAGGAGGCAGAAAAGTATTTAATATCTCATGGTTGGAGGTTAGTCACCCTGTTCTTGATCCGGTGATGCTCATGTCAGAAGCAAATAGGACTGTTGGCATTCTATTAAACTTATTGCAGTCGGCTGGTAGCCTCCCTGGTTGCTTGACAATTACTGTTGTCAATTGGTGAGTTTTCATGTGTTACCGGTCGATAATTGTTCTAATTCAGTAAATAATGTTGGGGAAGCATAGTTGCGATTTTAGAAGGCAGGGTGTTCAATGGTTTTCTTTGATGATTTTTGTTTGATAAATTGTTTTTCTACATTTTCCTTATATGGTCCTTCTATTTTCTTTACATGGTGAACCACACCTGCATATCTCTGTATTGAAATTGATGATGTTTTTTATATACCAATGGCTTTCATAATCTCTTAAATCTGCATGGGTTTTCTGTATTTTCTGCCTTGGTAGTGTGAAAGTCAAACTAACATGAGTTATGTAGAATAATTGATATATAATCTATCGTTGTACTCCCACGAGAGCAATGCATAGTTTAGGAATTTCATGGTTCATATAGACTCTTGTGGGTACGCCAATAAATATGTATTTCTACTGGATATGAAACCACATATGCTTAGTTTTATCTTGTCTTGGAACTTAGTATCCTACATGCACTGGAAACAGGAAGCATTGCATAGATGGAAATGTATCTCATTTCAAGTGAGCTCCTGTGTCCAGAGTTTTAATTTATTTTTTTTCCCCTGCTTGTGTTGAATTTCGCATGAATCTTGTCATCTTTATTATTCTTTTTAACAGTATGTCACTTTGCATCTTGACTGAGTAGTTATCTTTTTGCATCCTATGTCAATGTGGTGTTTTACCATCAGCTACATGTTGTTAATTTCTTTGTCTGTTCATTATGCACCCCCCCTTTTCTTTTGTTCATTGAAAGTCCCTGCTAGCTTCAACATTGGTGTGTGATTTTAATGCTCCTTCGTTTCCTATGGACTGATTCCATTGGTATTTACTGCTGTAACCACTTAGTTGCTTGCAAACTGTTTTTGCATCTCCTCTTGAAGCATGTAACTTACAATTGTTGATTTTGATTCCTTTCTGTCTTCAATTTGTGCTTCCCTATTTTTAGCTTGTATGTGGTCCTGCAAGTTGAGAAAGTCAGAGATGAGTTAGTCTGATGATTTCCTTCTGTACCACCAATTCCGGATTGTAAGTTTTGGCTTAACTTGTATAAAATATGTCAAATAATCAGTGTTCGCAGTCCTTAAGTGGGGAGAGGGTAATAGCTGGGGAATCAAAATATGCGAAGATCTTTTCAACATGTATTTTTATCAGCTTGTTAGTTCATTTTTCTGGAAAGTAAATATGCGATGGTTCTCATCTTCAGGGGTCATAGACTTTTAAACTCATTTATTTGGGAACATTTGTTGTAGACTTGCAGCTGGAAGTATTCTTGGTACATGTGCAAACAAACGTTTCATTCACATTCCTTACATGAATATATCCCTCATTTATGCTTATAGGGATGCACTAAGACTTCCTAACGGAATTAACATCCTAACAGATTCCTAACTGACTAACTAACTCCTCCTAACAGCCTAGCAATTCTACTTAATTTGCGTCGTATTATAAATTTGAAATATATTATTGTCTAGTACCCTTTAATCCTTTACATGCAGAAAGGTGATGCGCTTTTTGCCTTATGACTTTGGTTTATAACGTTCTCCACGGTTACACAAATGTAACTAATTCCTGTTAACCACATAACATTTTGACTTGTGTCATTTTATAAATTTGAAATATACTGTTGTGTTACTCCCTTTACTCCTTTCCATGCAGGAAGGTTACTTGTGTTTGTCTCACAATTCTGGTGTATAAAGTGCACCATGGTTTTGTGATTGTAACTATACACGATGCTCTCATGCCTTTTTACTGATGCTATTACATGTCTTCACTTCAGATTCTGAAAGCTTTTTAAAACTTAGCATATAACTGCATTGTCCTCCTGGTTATACTATCGTCGCAATTATGGAGGGATCACTGAAGCAGGGACTCATGGATAGAACAAGTTCAGCTGCTTGTTTGATATCATTGCAGCTTGCTGACCAGCTCTCCATGAGGAGTAAATGGCTTTGGATTCTGCTGCTTTGGCGGTTCATGTAATGAAAGTTACAAGGATAGACTATGTTCATTGTTTATACTGTGGAGTGCCAGCTGGTCGGTGATAACATTGATTATTGATGCATAAAATGGTCATCTCATGAATCGAGGAAACATATGGTCATCAAGCGATGCAGTTTATAATTGCAAACTTCTTAGAGAGACCATTTAATGTGTAAATTTTTTGTCCTGTATGTGCATACAGTTGGTGATGTTTAGAGAAATTAAAAATGTATTTGATATTTTACGTTTGATATGACAGCTGACACACTTCTAATGTTTCAATAATTCAAATTATATTTTGGTGGGAGCTTGTGTTATATTTGGTGATTTTGCTCCATCATTATGGCTTTTAACTTCTTTCCTTATGTTATTATGTTTGGATTATTGGATACTTTACACAGTTGATCTTGTATATTTAAGGCTATCTGTTCTGCTGATTCTTTGACTATCTTGGTAACCTCCTTTTCAAATGCAAATTTCCTTTTCATACCATTTCATTGGTTCATCTGGTAATACAGTTCAAACCTACCTTTTGAAATCAAAGTTCATGACATGGACATTGTGCTTGGAGTTTACCAGAACTTGAAAAACTATAAAATTTTTTATGGCAAATATTTCAATATGCAGGCTGGACTCATCAAACTGCATGGCTATGGACATAATATTTTTCAGAAAAATAAGTCCTGAGCTTTTATAAAATTACCCTGCAAGTTTATTTATGCAAAAAAACTCGGCAGTCATTGTTCCTACCTTCCGCTCCTTTTTGTGTTGTGGTTGGATCTTCTCCATATTGAAGCATTAATTCAAACAGACTGGAAAGTACTTGTAAAGGAATGTTTCTCTCATGATTATGCTTCAGACTCATAAATTGAATGCTTCCTTCCTTCTGTATTCTGTCCCTAATATCTTTGTTTGCATTAGAAAATCAGTCTTGACAAGTTTTTGATCCATCATATCATATTTCTAGTTTCTTTTTTTCTTTTTAAGTTAATTTAAGATAATAACTCTTATGTTGACATCTGCATCCGTATCACATTCTGTTATGTAAACTTCTCAGTTTTTATGTCATTTGATTTGAATGGTCCCATAATTACTTGTTACTGTATATTCTGTTTTTCATTGTGGTGAAAATGTCGTCTATTTTTATCTTGTGCAGAATCACCAAGAATGTGTCAGTCATGTATATGGATCCATATCTATATTTGGACCCATTATAAATGGTTTGACATCCTGATGAATGCAAATGTGGTCCATAAGGCTTTGCTGTTGGAATTGTCAACTGTGTTTTTAGTCATTACTACTGCAATTTTATATATCCTTCTGCAGTTTTATGCTTTTCAAGTTTCTATTTGGTGGCAAAGATATCATGCATGTGCTTGTTCTTAAACTTGCATTACTTGAGTACTGCAGCCATTGATGCAGAGGGAATTTATGGAAGCCCTATTGCATGAGAAAATTGGGCTTGACTGTTATTTAATTGACTGCAGTTTGTAGCAATGCAACATATTTCCTTGAAAAGAATTCAATTATTTCATGTGACTGAAAATTTCTTTCGGTACTTTGCTAAGTGCTGTTTTGGATGATCATGCTGAAATCTAGTATCAACACATTAAGTGGATTAATTGTTGTTAGCATTATAATCCCTTACATAGCTTGCTTGCCAGCTCATGCGCTAATCCGTAATATATATCTGAACTTCTTGGATCAACCTCCTGGATTGAAAGGGCACTGTTTATGAATTTCTGCTGACTTTTGGGTGTCTTTTTCATAGAGGTAGACTTAAACTCTGCCTGAATGGTGCAATTGTCAAAGGCTTTTGAGAAATAAAGTCCTTTGTTGTCAAATGAATGTTAGGAACTTCAGTCTAGGTGATTTAGGGTGACCTTCAGTTCGTGAAGGAACTGAGGTTGCACTAATGGTGGGTTTTGTGAGGGAAACTAATAATATTGCTGTTTAGGTGACACCAGAGTGAGTGGCTTTGGTGATGTGTCATGGTAATGGGGCTTGGCAGCTTCACCAGTGAGGGTATTGTGGTGTTTGCTGTAATTTTTAAATTGTGCAATTTGTTTCAGTTTATCTTGTCTCAGTTAAAATTTATGCTGTAGAAAACAACATTCATGTTTGGTTTGCTTCCCAGGCAGTTATGTCCTCTTGAATCAATCTTTTCTTCCTTCTTTTTTTCTAACTACTTGTCTAAGCATTATGGCCCATGATGCTTAGGATAATTGTTAGTTTTGCATCTGCAACTTCTTAAAGGCGAGTGAAAGCTTTGGAGTTCTATGTGTAGCAACCTTGTTATATGGGCTGTTTCATCTGGAACTCCATGGTTCGGAGGTTTTATTTGAGTTTTAGTCACTGTTATAAGTAATGTGTTAGATATAAGAAAATTGTTTGTGTCATTCACTAATTTAACTTGAATTAAGGATGTTATCATGGAAGTGTGTCTTCTCTTTAAGTTGTACAAGAGCTTGACCACTTTAGCTAGCTGAGATGCTATAATGATGTCGCAAATAAGAATTTGATGGAAACACAGGCATAATTTATTGAAGTGTTATTTTGAAATTCTAACTATTATCTGCATAAACATGCTCATCTTTCTTTTCTTTTTTTTTTTCCTTTCACCACCCTTCCCCCCAATGGATGAAAAATAATTTGCTGCTTATCTATTCATAACAATGCATTTGTACTTCATAATGGACAATTCTGATACTGCCCCTTGTCTTTCTATGCCTTTTTAACTTTAAGGCATTGGTAAACTTGAATTCCTTGATTACCTTCAGAATAGATGAATTCATATTTAACAGGAAAAGGCGGTTTTTTTTTGGGGGGGGGGGTTGAAGTGAGCCTGTACATCCATTACCCAACTATTCTAGCAGGAAAAAAGCTTTATGCTACTGGATTATTGGGACTGATGAACTGCAGTTTTTAATTGAGTAATTTATTCTAAAATTTCCTTTGACATGCTATCTATGCGTGTGATTTAGGCGTTTGTTTAATTACCATAATTTTCCTTAGCAAACTTAATTGCAGAAATATTTATTTGTGTTTTACTAATAAATAAAAAGTATAGGTGGGACCAGGCACTGAGAATTAGAAAGTTAGGCATGTAGAGGTGTGTAGCTAATGCTGTTCTGTTTTTGGTGTCGGATTCCATAATGATATATTATGGGATGCACGTTATTTATTTAAAGTAAATACCCGTGTTAGTGGTAAAGTTGGGTTTTTTTGGGGCCTCCTTTTTTTTTTTTTTGAAAAAGTGTATATGCCCTAACCCAAAGGCTTGGTTGATTATAGAATACAATATAATCATGCAATCTATATAACCGATCCCATTTAATAAGATAAGACTTATTGTTGTTGTTGTTGTTGTGAAAGTGTATATGCCTTGTATGCAATTGTCTGGTCTAACTTCTTTCTATACAGGTTATGCTGCTCTTAGCATTGCATTTGATTTCTGTTGTTAATGTGCTCTTTCTCTTTTACCCTCTTGCCTGCAATGTTTTTGTCATCCGGGATTTAACCCTGTAGTTTGCTTCCTTTGACAGTCTTGTAGCCATAGCAAGGAAAAGGCCACAGCACTGCAATACTGTTCTTCCAGCATTGCTCGATTTTGATCCAAATTTCCAAATAGTAAAAGGATGTCATGTTGCTAGTATTCAGTACTCCTTAAGAACGGCATTTTTAGGGTTTCTGAGGTGCACTTACTTACCAATATTAGAGGTAAATATGCATATGCCAACCTACTTTGTTAGTCTTCTATTCAAATTGATCATATCTTTATTTTCTTATATTCTCTTTACAATGTCAATGTAATGATTTTTCGAAATTATAATGGCTTCACCCTGAATTCCTTGCTTCTTTCTTGGTGACTTAATTACGTTATTTTAACATACCAATTCAGAGATTATGATTGCAAATTCAGCACCTATTTTTTTTTTAAAGAACGTTCTATTTTACGTTTCTGTAGTAGATAGTTTGTAAAAATAACTATGAAACTGGAAGTAGGGACAAAAATTAAAATATAGAAATAAAAATAATGTCATAAAAGAAGCTTGTAGGTATTTTTGTCTTGTAAAAGTGAACCATTGCCATAGTACATCGAATAGTGGGGACAGAAGAGTAGAGCTTATGCTATGAGGGATTTAAAGGAGATGGGGAGAAACTATACATTTTTTATGGATTGCTCACTACATAATTTGTCATATTCTCTATGTTCAATTACTGTATTCCTGCTTCCTTTTAGTGTGTCATCCCACAAACTGCCGCCCCACCAAAGAAAAAAAAATTTAGCATGCAGTCATGAACCAAGAACAATAATGAAGTTTATAGCATGGTCCTATTAGGATCCTGTTATAGTGGTATAAAATTCGTTGTCTCAAGATTTCTGTTATTTTTTTCAGTCAAGAGAAAGATTGGTAAAGAGCCTGCGAGCTATGAATGCAGGAGATGCTGCTGAGCAAGTTATTCGGCAAGTTGACAGGTTAATTAGAAATGGTGATCGTTCTATTCGTGATGCTCGAGCTAGCAAGGTATGTGTGACTTGCTACTTATGGCTGTAAGATAAGTTTGTGAAATTGAGAATTAGTTGCTAGCTGCTGATTTCATCTTATTGTATCACATTCATTTTCATTTTTAACGGTCAGGATGATTACCTATCAACTCAGACGCCAGTTTCTGGGGAATTATCTAGAAAAAGATCAATGCCTGTAGATAAAGAACAACTGACCAATGGTCATGAGGTCATCTCTAAGCGGATTAATTCTGGCCCTGGCCTACACTCTCCTTTACCTGTTCAAATAATTGATTCTGAGCAGGATGTTTACTCTGCAAGCGAACTATCCTCTAATGTTCCTGTGCTGGATAGTGAACTAACTGCTGTGGAGCAAATGATTGCTATGATTGGTGCTTTGCTTGCTGAAGGAGAAAGAGGTGCTGAATCTCTTGAAATCCTTATTTCAAAGATCCATCCTGATTTGTTAGCTGATATTGTCATTACTAACATGAGGCACTTGCCTAAGACGCCACCATCATTAACAAGGCTTGGGGATCTACCAGTAACACAAGCTGATACCCAACGCAGTCAATTGCGAGCTGTATCATCCGCGCCCATAAATTCTGTTCAATCTTCTGCTATTACAGCTCAAGCTCCATTCCCTTCAGCTACAGCCATTGCCACTGCTGCATCACTATCTGACACCTCTAATGTCAACAATCTGCCTGCTGATTCCAAACGTGATCCACGCAGGGTAAAATTATTGTGTTTGTGCGCTACGGTGCCGGTATTGGCATCTATAGTTGAAATTTCTGTGTCCATTATCATATAATGTTAGTTCATTCGACTTGTATTCTTCCTGGTACAAATTTTCAGGATCCTCGTCGTCTTGATCCTAGGCGTGTAGCGGTAAATGCTGCAGGCACAGCACTATCAGTTGTGGAAGATACTGGTTCTTTGAAATTGGAGTTTGATGAATCTTTATCTTTGAGTAAGCCTGTTTCACATTCCGATGTGGCCACTGTTGACAATGCTCCAGCACCTGTAGCAGTCAACATAGAATGTGAAGATATCATCTCTGAAGGTCCACCAGTTTCAGCACCTGAAAAACCAATTACTAAGATGGAGATTCAAGAGACGCCCAGAGATATTGACCGGAGTCCAGAAGAAAATGCTTTTTCAGATCCCTTACCCTCTGTTGCTGATGTTACAGACGAGGATCTGAGTGCAGTGAAGCTATCAGATAATGAGGCAAATGGGACCAATTCAACTATACAAGAATATGATCAATTCTCTCCAGATGCTACGACTGCATCTACATCAGATGATACCTGTCTGGAATTACCACAGCTTCCACCATATGTTGAACTGTCCAGAGATCATGAAAGTAACATTAAACATATGGCAGTTAAGCATCTTATGGAGTCGTACAAGCATCTGCATGGGACAGATTGTCAGCAGTTTTGCATGCTATTACTTGCCCGAATGGTTGCTCAGGTATCCCACTCCCCCCCAATGTTTGTAACTACTCCCTGCGGAACTATTCATAGGGCAGAGAAAGTAGAATTTTTTTGGTCTCATTTATAAGTTACATCTTTAAATTTTCATCATAAACTTCCTTTTTTATCCTCCAGAGAGAGAAAATATGTTGTTATGATATGTATATTTAATACGGGTAAAGTTGATAACTTGTTAAATTTTTATACAGAGTTAATGATTAAGGTTTTCCTTGATACCAGTGAAATATGTTAGAAGTAACTTATAAATAGGACCAAAGAAGTATGTTGAAAACATGGACTAACTTCTTTTGTTTTTTATTTAATGTCTTCTGCATACAAGGTTTAGTATCTATGTACAACTATTTTGTCTTCTAATGTGTATTTAGAATTCTATGCTCCTGTATTAAGCAATGCTTCTCAAGGTGTCATAATAATGTCAATTATAAAATGATGTACAACTACAACTGTTGTTTCTAAGAAACTACCTCCCAAACATAGATGCCTTACCTGAAAGAAATTTGTGAGAAGAGGGTATTTAATTATAGTTAGACATTCATTGTCCTAGTATTCTTCAAATAATAGTTTAAAACAATAGCTGTCAAGAATCGTAAAAAAATTTAAATTATTGTGTCATAAACTATTGTATACAATGAATACTATATGGAAGTATAGGCAATTGGAAGCATGGAAAACAAAATTGACAGCAAAGGCAACAATAAATTTTCCTCTTATGTACTCTATTAGTAAAAGGAACAGGAACAATTTTCATTTTTTTTTTTGGTTCTAAATATTCCAAATATTTACTTATCCTATATTTTTTAAAAAATAATGACATTACAGGTTTATGAAAGTAGTATTAAAATATGCACGTGTTGTCAGTTACCCTTATTTTTCATCACTCTAATATCGATTGCTTTTCCTCTTACTAAACACGTCTGTGTGTGCACTCTTCGGTATTAATTGAACAAGAAAAAGCAAAAAAGAGGACAACATTAGGATTATACGATCTTTGGTCCAAAGAAAGTTTGACTTTCTCAACCTGGCTTTGATGTAAAGCGAGATAATGGCTGGATTGAGTGATGTTGAGGTTTTGAGCATCTCTAGTCATGCAAATTTTTTGTATAGTTTTGGGAAGACACTACTTTGATTTAGTTTTCTATGCCACTTAAAGGAGATGGATAATTAGTGTCAGGAATATAGTTTGTTTAACCTGAAACATTAAACTGCAGCTAGATGCAAAACATTAGAGAAAAAGTTAAAGTACAATGAAAGGGAATCTGACATGTGATCTGCTTTAATCATTTGTTGTCTATCAAGTTTTGGGCAGTATAATAAATATATTTGGTCTGCTATGCAGATTGATGATGATAAAGAGTTCATTTTGATGCTGCAAAAACATGTCCTGGATGACCAGTGGCGAAAGGTGCCAGTATTTTGAATCTTACTTTATTTCAATTATAGAATTTTACATAATTTAATTCTCCCTATCTTGTTGCCTTTGAGTATTAGTATATCCCAGTCAAGTGCAGTCATTTCCACCATTTTATTCATCCTCCTCTTTGTACTTTCTTTCTTAATAAATTCTTTTTTTCCATTTATAAAAATTTAAGAGTCTTTGAGGTGTTTTGATTTGCATGTGTTATCTAGAAAATAGATGATTAGTTATTTATAAGTAAAGGCCAGCGTCATCTTTTTAGATTTTTGCATGAGAGCCAGAATAATAGATTGGGTTTTGAATGCACTCAATGATGGATGTGCTTAAACTACATAATATGGTGCTTGAAGCTTCAGATATGTTCATTTGCTCCCATATATTAATTTGGTGAAATTTGAACCTAGGTGGCAAATTGTCCACCACAGCATGCAGAGTAGCCATCAGGTGTGATTCCAGAGAATCCAAACTGTGTTGATAGATCACCTGCTATGAAGTTGTTAATTTGTGCTATTGCAAGCTTTTGAAGTTCATAAAGTTCATTATTGCTTGTAAAAATAAAGCCGTAACTTTGATGTTGTGAGAACTTAGAAATACATATTGAGAAATTTAATTAGTGGAGTCAAATGATATAAGCGATTGCATTGGTGCTGGTGGGATTGCCAAATGTTGTATGATGGGGGTTGTCAGCATCTCAACAATTGTCTGTAGTTTAAATGGTTATGGATGGAGATCAGCATTCTGTTTAACAAATATCACTGTCGATTTGTTTTTATTCATTTTTTTAAAAATTTTAAACACTGCTAACATGATATTTGAAATGGATTTGCAGGGCCATGAACTTGTATTGCATGTTTTGTACCATCTACACTCCTGCATTATCCTGGATTCAATTCCAAACTCTTCATCTACTGCTGCTCTGTATGAAAATTTTCTCTTGGCGGTGGTAGGCACATTATACCTTGTTTGGCCTTTTTTTTCCCCATGATATTATATCATCATCATTGTCATTTGCTTTTCCTGAGAAAGATTTCTAGATAGAAGTGTCATATAAGGAAAGTATGAAGAATAGTTTGTCTCGTTGCATGCTTTCATTCATCATCTCAGCTAAAGTAAATTGATTCGCTCAAATCAGGGACTATATTCAAATCCCTATGCAGGAAGCAATATCAAAACTGCATAATAACTAGAACACTTGAATTCTTGATAATAAGTACAATACTCCTTGTGATGAATGGATTAGTACATTTTCCTTGTAGGCCAAATCTCTGTTGGAGTTTCTCCCGGCTTCAGACAAGTCTTTTAGTAGACTTCTCGGAGAAGTCCCACTTTTGCCAGAGTCTGCCTTGAAGGTTTTGAATGATCTCTGCCATTCCAGTGTCACTGATCGTCACAGTAAAGTTGTCCGTGACATGGAGCGTGTAACTCAAGGCCTTGGTGCGATCTGGAGTTTGATATTGGGACGTCCACAATATCGGCAAGCATGCTTGGATATAGCATTGAAGGTAACTTATCATGCATCAGTATCATCACAGGGACAGGGTATGGTATTGCCATTAGGGACGAAAACAATCTCCTGGCTTTATGCAATGAATTGAGATTTTGGAGTTATGCCGATATTTGTAGCTAACTAAAAAACAAAATTCTTATATTCGTTGGATGTGGATGAGACCATTTGTGTTATGTTTGTCAGTGTTACAAATTTAAAACATATTTGGCTAAATTCTCAGTTTTCCATGTAGCTCTTCAGTGATAAAGATCTCTTAATCTCTCTGAATGAGCTGACTTGTTTTTCCAATTTTTCTTCTCTTATTTATTAAACTTAGTTATGTTGTAGAGCAAACGGTATAATTGCAAGCACATTGCTGGTCAGTTTGATTTGTCCATGGTATAATTATTTTCATCAATGTTAAGAAAATCAGACCAGGTTGATTGGTTCAACTGGAGAGCCAGAGCCTTGTCCAGTCCAAAACTAACCCAACACTGGGGAAAAAATAAACTAGACAAAAACCAGACTACCCATTTAAAACCCAACAGGTTCTTGTTAGTTAAAAATATGAACTTTGGGATTTCCACGAGTGCCAATTCCCAAGCATAACTTACATCTCCAGGCAATCCATGAAGACCTCTAGAGTTGGCCCCCCTGACATTTCTGTTATTTTTTAAGTAATTGTCTGGTATGGTGAGGAAAAATGAAATGAGGGACTGAAAGCATTGTTGATATTTTTGTAGTAAGTGTCTGATCATCATGCAATTATATTCCTCATATGGGACTGATGTGTTCATTTCAATGTTGCAGTGTGCAGTTCATCCCCAGGATGAGATTCGAACAAAAGCTATTCGGCTGGTATATGAACTTATGGCTATATGAAATCTGTCAGATAGACCATCAATTTATTAGGTAACCACTAGCCTCTTTTGTTTGGTGTGTCTCGCAGGTGGCAAACAAGCTCTATCAACTGAGCTACATATCAGATGATGTTGAACAGTTTGCTGAGCAAATGCTTCTGTCTGCTGTAGACCAAAAGGCCTTAGATACAGGTCTTTCTGAATCTGGACCCATTGAACAAGGAGCTGACACACAGGTGTGTATACATTTTCAGACTCCTCTTTGTTGTCCTTTTGGATTACACTCTGCTGAAATGGCTGCTTTGAAGAATTCATTGTAATCCTGAATGAATTATTGGATTTCAAGCTGATGGCTACCAATTTTGTCCATCTTGATTCATTGGAACCTTTTAATGAGGCCTGGGTTTCTGCAACACAGTAGAATAGATTATGCTGTTGTCCTAAATTATAGAGGCGATTGGCATGTGAACAGCTAGTAACGTTATTTGAAGAATTGCATGTTTTCTATTACGTCCAAGGGATTTTTTTCTTGCAATGTTCTAAATTAAATGACTTAATTGTCTACAGTTATTGGCCTTTTATGTTTCAAAGATTGGAAGTCAGGAAACCCCTGCTCCGTTGCAAGTTTCAGAATCTCCCGCATCTGAAAATGAGCCCTCTAAAATTGGTAAACCAGTAGCAAATGTTGCATCTGTGTCATTGTCTGAAGCTCAGCGTCTCATATCATTGTTTTTTGCTTTGTGCACAAAGGTTTGTTTTACTTCTTTGTATGCAGGTTATAAGTTGACAGTGACTCCAACTGAGTAGTTTTCGTCTGTTTTGTTAACACCAACACATTATTTCAAATCCTGCAGAAACCCAGTCTTCTTCAGATTATCTTTGATGTCTATGGGCGAGCCCCAAAAACTGTAAAGCAGGTATTGTTTCATTTTGCTTTCAATGTTATTTTTTCAGCACAGCCACTGAGGTTGAAAATCTGTGCCTTTGGTCTATTTTTAATTTTAATATAATGGGAGGTTAAAGTGTGATCTTTTCCTGAAACTCAACATCCGTCATGAATGTTTGATGTTGCCCTGGGCTATGAGATTGAGAATCATATCACATTAGATGAACTGTTTGCTTAAAATGCCTTAGGTTTCTGGTTGTTTTCTTGATTCAATTCTGTCTTTGGCATTAAATTATGAGAATTAAACTATGAGAATGAAGAAAGAGCTCATAAAAAGCAGTAGACGTCATGTTGTTGCTTCTAAACTATAATTTGCACTGCCAGTTTTTGGTTTAATGCTTTTGACCTATTCTATTTGGTCACTTACAGGCCATTCATCGTCACATCCCTATTCTTTTGAGGGCTTTAGGACAATCATATTCTAAAGTTCTCCATATTATATCCAATCCACCACAAGGAAGTGAAAATCTTCTGACACTGGTAGCTTCCTTTCTCACCATTGATCATAGCTTATTTCACCCTACAGAAGAGTAGGTGGATTTTTGAAATACAAAATAAATGATTATAATGTTGTTTCCATCTTTGTAGGTGTTGCAAATATTAACTCAAGAAACGACACCGTCTGCTGATCTGATAGCTACTGTTAAGCATCTATATGAAACTAAATTAAGGGTATGCCTTGACTGTATGCCCTAATTCTGCTCTGAGGCTTACATTTTTGGATATATATTTACCCATGCTAGTTCTGTGCTGCAGGATGTTTCAATTCTTGTTCCCTTGCTGCCATCACTGTCCAAAAATGAGGTCAATTCATTACTTCTGTCCTTGTTTTTCTTTTCTGTATATATGAGTACCATTTAGCAAGCTGCATTCACCTCGTTTTTAACATTAGGTGAAGAGAACAGGGAAAAGAAATGAAAGGAGGCCATAGTATGACAGTTACTCTGTCTAATGCTTTATTCCTTTGTAATTCAGAGGCGTAGAGGGCCAGTCTCTAAGGATCTCGTGGAGATCACAGAACATAGAAAAGTACTTGCATTAAAGCTGGAATAGAAGACCCTAAATAAGGAAATAAAAGAGCTGACTCTTCTATTAAAAAACATACATATGAAACATTAGTTCCATCTTCATTAAAGACAATCTTCTTCCTCCTCGGTCCTGAAAATATTAGTTGAAGAAGTTCTTATGAGAATGATGGAAATTACAAAAGTTCCATCCACGTTCATGAGTCATGATAAAGTGTATCCAGGACAAGAAAAATCTTTTGTTAAGGATTTATCCTCTGAATACCCGCTACCAAATGATGCACAGACCTATCCATGTATCAGATTATACAGAGCTCATTGTTAATTCCATTCGTTTGTTGCGAAGTAACTTCTCAATTGTCAGCCCAATGTCAAATATAAATACCAGTTGGCATTTGGTTAAATTATATTAATTTTGAATTTGAATTTATAATCTTCACAGTTTTGTTTGCAAGTCATTGGCCTTTATGAATTGAGAAAATTTTGTTATGTTGATTTACTTATAGATGCTAGTTTCATTTTGCTCTGTTCCATAAACAGTTAGAAGTTTAGAGAGAAGCATATGGCAATTTTTGTGATGCATTAGCTGGTTGTACTGTCATGTGGTCAATGTTTACAGTGTTAAACTTTAATGGTAGCAGGTTTTACCAATATTCCCTCGGCTTGTTGATCTTCCATTGGAAAAGTTCCAAATGGCACTTGCTCATGTACTACAGGTATATGCATAGGCTTAACCTGAAGTTCATATTTTGTCTCTGATGCTTGTTCTGGGTTGCTTACAAGTCTTGGCGCTGTTATTGTGTTTAGAATTTTTACAATAGGATTGTCTCAGCAAAAACTGAAGTTTGTAAAGCAATGTCATTGAATTTTTTTTCGTTTTCTGTTTATCTTTTTCATCTAGATGTGCTTAACATTTACAAATGTTTATGGCAGGGTTCTGCTCATACGGGCCCAGCTCTGACACCTGTAGAAGTGTTGGTTGCAATCCATGGAATTGTTCCTGAGAAGGATGGCATTGCACTTAAGAAGGCATGTTTCTGTTAGTGTAAATTACTATTACACCCCATGAATTTCCCACAACCAACCTTCCCCCTTCTAGAGACAAAAGCTAAGTGTATTCAACAAGAAAGCTTCAATTTTTTCTGGCTGGCAGACTCTCCCTCCTTCAATGACTTTTTCCTCTTGCTGTGTGCTGTGTTCTTATCAGACTTGATATCTCATTGCTGTAGAAAAATTGTTTGGTTTATTATCCGTACTTAAAACTGAATGCTTGTTATGAAAAGTATCAACTATTGGTTTCTAGCGTGGTAGACAGTTATTCTCATGTTAGGTCACGTATAATGTATTTGAGTTGGTGAGAACTATAATGTCAATTGACAAGTTCTTCTAAAAGTACATTTCATGGTGGTAATGGGTGTGTGTATTTTGGGGTTTGTTAAGGCTGATGCTGATGGCGCTTGTAATCAAACACGTGACCAGCTCCTGTTTTCATCATTATTTATTCCTGATGAATGGAAATTGTTTAATTTTAAGCAATTGTAATCAATTCGCTGCTCCTTCTGATATCAAGTCTTTGCACCAACTTTTTCTCTCAATAGGTCATTTTCTAATGAGATATTATATTTCTCAACATGCATTAATATCCTTTAAATTTTGCATCTCTCGAGCTGCCTGCTACTTTTCATTGCAAGTTTTTAAGATATTGTCCAATGAAGTTCTAGCCAGATTGTGATTGACTATACCGAAATCTGCATTCTATAAAGTAGTTCTGGTTTGCTTACCCTCAAGAATTAAACAATAGAACCGCTATAATCCTTGCTTTGTTTTGTCAATCTTATCATCTAACGCATAAAAATTGCATTAATTGAAGTTCAAAATTCACAAGTGGTGATTTCTCAAATTTTGTCTATTTGTTGATTATCAGATAACTGATGCTTGCACAGCTTGTTTCGAGCAACGTACTGTGTTCACACAACAGGTTCTGGCAAAGGCATTAAATCAGATGGTAAGTAGATTCAATCTGGTCAGCAGCAATTAGCAGATATATTACAACATGGTCATTGGAATCTTGTTGAAATTTTCAGGTTGATCAAACTCCATTGCCTCTACTTTTCATGAGAACAGTTATTCAGGCTGTTGACGCTTTTCCATTATTGGTAAATCTCTTGTTGCATGTTTTTGGTGCTCGTATTGCTGCTAGTGTTTATGTATTTCTTTTGTTAATTGGTTAAAAAGTAATTGTAGAAATTGAATGCTCTTCAGTAGACATGTTATGGTGAAAAAACTTCAGTCAATTTTGGAGCAAATGATTGGACAAGCATCTTTACTTAGTCCTTGTATTTTCTGGTTTGTTAATGAAAGGATAATTTATTGGATATGAATAATCTAGACATGAAAGTAGGGCATTGGTGGTGCTTCTTGAGTCCTCATGTTTCTTTCCGAAAAGGTGATGTGTTGAGAAGGCAGGCTTATATTGATCCCCCTTTCAACGAAGATCTTTTCCCAATTTGTGATGGTCTTTTCAATTATGGGAAGTTATTGCACAGAATTTTATATCTATTTTGGAACTATTAAATTATTATAGAGACATTTAGTTTCACCGTTTTTTGTTGACGTGCTTATCCATTTCAGTGTTCTTAATATATGTTTAATTATTACAAGTTCTTCGGTGCAACCATAAGGCCTGCGTTTTACTGATTTGGAGGTTTTTAAAAACGATTGCTTTTTGGTGTCCGAAGTCTTCATCAGGCATGGCATAGCGAAGATGTTTACTTGCAATTGTAATATTTATGCTCTATTTGTAGGTTGATTTTGTTATGGAGATATTAGCAAAACTTGTTACTAAACAGGTAAAGCTTTACTCAAATCTAGAATAGACATTTTTCTGATTCTCATATTTAACTGTCTCCTTAACACTACTGATTAACAATCCACTGGACAACAAATTGATTACTTCTATACTGATTGCAGGTGTGGAGGATGCCAAAACTTTGGGTTGGTTTCTTAAAATGTGTGTATCAGACCCAGCCACGTTCTTTTCATGTATTATTGCAGGTATTGCATTTTTTTTACCTACATAACATCAGTTAATGTGTTATCCTTTAGATTCAACCTGCATTTCTGCATTCTGGATGCAGCTGCCGCCTTCACAACTGGAAAGTGCTCTCAATAAACATGCAAATCTCAGAGGTCCTCTTGCTTCTTACGCCAGTCAACCCACTGTAAAATCTTCATTACCCAGGTAAGCTTTTCTAGATATGGCTGTGGGGATAGATAGTCTGTAATTCAATGCTTGTTCGTGCACCTGAAACAAATTTGAAATTGAGCTGAGCTTTCAAAGATTTAGCTGCAGATGCTCACCCCATCTATTTCATAATTAGACATGGATACTCTCAAGGACATTAACGTCTGCCAGTCTATTTGTTCCCAATTTTTTTGTATTGAAAGCGAAGTTGTTGTTGACCGCTGGATGTCATATTTTTGGTTTCCGACCCTGAAGAATGAAAATATGTAATATTAACTGCTGAGGTCTCAAGGAGATATTTGATTTTGCTGTTGGAATTTGGTGTCATGGGATTGTTAGAGAATGTGGCATAAACCTCTCTTGAAGTTAACTCATGTTCCCATGTACAGATCAATACTAGTTGTGCTTGGTCTTGCAAATGAAACACAAATGCAGCAACATCCGTCGACCTCTTTGCACCCTTCTGACACAAGTTCTGTTCATGGAGCAACTCTGACATGATAGTTGAGAGACTGACCGGAATTTAATAGTTGGCTGGCTCAACTGTAGAGCATAGAGGAGGTTGGTCACTTTCTCAGGGTTTGCAGCCGTCCCATGATAAATACCAACAGTTGATACAGTGACTGATCATATGGACTGGACTCTCTTTCAAGAGTTGAGAAGGCCGTCTTATTCCGGGGACGATATCAACAAAGTTACCATCTCTAGAGCCCCATTCCAGTGCTCTGCCAAACTCGCCTTGGCTGCTCGAGGAAATGGACGACTAGTCATTTTTATTGTTCTATCTCGTTTTCATGTAATATATTCATCCAATTTTGATGCCTCCTTCCTGGAAGCCAGAGAATAACCAACTATCCTCATGTAGTGTAGTGGCGTATCTAACCCTGCTGGAAATTTTTTCCCAGTCAGTCCGCTCATTCCACGAAGGATGTCAAAATGCTGGTAAATTAGACAACCCAGATGATAACGTCTGTCCAATGTATCTGTAAACATCCCCCCACCCCCCAAAACCAATTTCAATTCTTTTCTCAGCCAGTCATGACTATTGGCATTTTTTCAATGTAGCAGCCACGTGTAAGAAATTTCAAAACAAATGGTATCTTGCTAAGCTGGAAACCTCGGACATGATGTTTGAAAGAATTAAAAACATTTACTGCGGGACAGATGACAAAAGTTGGGATTCATTGAAGCAGGGAATGCCCAAACACGGTTGTGACTAATACCATTATTTCCGGCGTTTCATGTATAATTTTGGGTGGACTCCTAGTGAAAAATGTTAAATGGTCATGAGATCATAATCATCACTGCAGTTACATGATAGTTGGTAATGATGCAAAACCTTATATGCTTTTTAACATGTTTGTGTATTGTTCACCAAAGCTACACAAATTGGGTAACTTCAAAAGAATCCCGAGTTCTTTATAAACTTAAAATAGACCTAAAAAGATGGGGAGAGGATCATCGAAACTAAATTTGTGCAGTTTTGTTACAAGCCTCCCCAATTTTGATACAAGCCGTCAGTTGTAAACAGTTTTGTCAAACATTCAATTTGCCACCAGCAGTGCTATCCAACAGTGTGTGTACGAACCTTGATGCAAACATGATCAATACTCCGCTTTCTGTGCTCTACGGAACCTTCTTTTTTCCTCTATCAATAAATAATAGTAACGTTTTTTACAAGAACAAAAATTGATTCTGAAAGTGAATATTGTCCTGTTCTGGAAACAATATAACCTGTCTAATCTTTGCCAGGGAACAAAACGCAGCAAAGCCACTGTTCTAAAATTGTAGCATCTATCCAGAGATGGACCGAAATGAATTACAGGTAAACTGTCAAGATTTAAAAAAGAAAAAGTTAATTTACATCCCTGTGAGGATAAAAGACATAAATACCTAAACATTTTTGGACCATTTAAATGTCATGTCAATGCACTACACAAACTAATGGCTAGAAGAAACGATGAGATGCATTATAAACGCCATGGCCTAAGAAGTGACAATCTTCCACAGGTCACTAGGATCTTTTCTACTTGGTTTCCCTCCTAAGGATCAATAAATTTCAGACAGGCACAATATTCTGCATTTGCTTGAGACTTAAAATAAGATTCAATATGCTATTTTACAAAAATAATTAAATCATACCTACCAAATGCCCATAATTGAATCACAGGGGGATTACTTGACAGAGATGACAGCATCTAGATTTTTCTGAAGTAGCCAACCCTTGGGATAATTTGCATTACGAGCATCCAAATGGAGATGCCAATTCATTATTTTGCAACAACCAGTAGGTGAACCTTCCATTTGACTCTCATCTTCCACCAATTGTTCTATGAAGGTGGTCTCCTGCAAAAACTAAAAAGTTCAATTCATGGATTGCAATAAAAGTAGTAAATATTATATGCCACAATAAAAGGACATCTGAACTAGTTAAATGGATGACACAAAGTAAAGACTAAAGATAGGAAGCATACTTGAAAACCCTCCTTCACTGCATCTAATTGGCGAATAGGATTTGACGTAGGACGCTGCCATCTTTTAGAATCCCACAAGATTGTGCTGTTAAAAGCAAATCCTGACATATCAACATGAAACCTACGAACTCTTTTACTTTTCTCATTTGTATGCCAACCAATCACTTGACTTGCATTGCATACTGGACCCTCCAAGATGGCCTTGTTTTTGCTTTGTGCAAGCATGGCAACAGGCCAAGTACCAAAGCGTCTAAAAAATTAGTTTAACATTAGAATATGCCATTATAGATATGTAACTGGGAGCGCAAACCATTCATAACAATAGGAAAGAATACGAAGAGGTCATTCATAGAGGCAGTCAAGAATAACATAATGCTTATATTTTCATAGGTAATTAATTATCAAAGAGAACCATAAGAAGTGAAAACTCTGGAGTCATTTGAATCATGAAGGAAATGCATGCCGAGACAAAATATAATTCTCTATAAAATTCTCAATCAACAGTCGTTAAGAACTAAAATTACAATTTACAAACATATCTTGGTACAAGTGATAGACTAAAATACTTCAAAACGTGCTGGAGAATACTAGTGTAAGGAAATTGAACATATTGCCATTCCCTCAAGGAACCACTAATCCAACAGCAGGTGTCAACTGCTTTGTTCCAGACCAAAAAACTTAGTCATATAAATGACTTGTAATAATCACATCTATAAGCATGCCAAAGACTAGTCGTCACAGTTAAAAATTAAAAAAATATTAACACGAAATTCAACAGATAATTTTTTAAGGAAAATATAAGGGACTAAAAGTAACATACTTCACATAAAGAAAAGAGAACTGAGATTTTCAAGGACGTAATATTCAAGTACATACTGAGATTTCCATGCACAATTGCATATAAGGAGAAAGCCCACATACGATACAACAATAGAAAACGGTGGCAACTCCTTTTAATTAGGGTAGCTTATGACATGCACGAACCCAACAAACGAGATGCAAATTACGTCAAATACTTGCAACAACGAAACCTCCAAAACAATCGCAGTAAGGATCAAATCTAGACATACTAAATGCTGTTATACAAATTAGACGTCATTATAAAACAAAAAATCTATGTCAAGCCACATTGTTTATGCCATAACCAGTGCAGCTCACAGACGAAAGCGTATCTAATTTGAAAGAAGTGATAAGACCGAGGCATGATAGCAAGGTTGAAATACCTTATGTTTCTCAAGGTCTCAAACAACTCAAGAGAATATATATTATCGTCATCTGCGAAGTAGACAATCCCATCTAGTCTATGGCGCTCAATGTGCTCCAACGCCGTATTCCTTTGATGAACTCCTCTGTCCTTCACATTTGTGGAGTTCTTAGTGCAAACCAAGTGCCTATACATCACACCAGTTCTCCTCAGTATGTCAGCAGTTTCCATAGAAGCTGAATTCGTTTCCACTACAATCCACAGAACTGGGGGAGGTACGAGCCTGAGCACGTGACTTAGCCTGTTTAAAAAGTAGGCCTGAAGCGCCCGATTATACGTGGGAGTCACCGCAATCAATTGCTTCCTCGGCACAAAATCGAGAGCATCATCGGTAGCAATTTGCTTATCGACACTCATACTCACTGGATTAATCACAAAAGCCTCATCATGCTTCAAAGTACGATCCTCAGGGACTAATTCTGCATTTGCGCGCCGCGGCTTGATCTCAAATGAGACATCCTGACGGTGAATGTCATCAACAACGTGACCGATGGGAAACATACCCCACAAGAAACCTAAGAAGAAAAAGATCAAACAGCTAAGCAATGCTCTTCTCCATTGCCCCTTCCGAGCATACCGCCGCATAACAAACCCGGCAAGAAACCTCCGCAATCTGGCTACGTACGCAACCAACACTGGTAATGGCGAAGCATACTTGGCACTAGGAGAGAACTTGTGGTGAGGAGAGGAAACTGGAAACGAGCCAACACCGTTTTGGTACTGCCGATCGTGGTGTGCAGGCGACAAAGTCCGTCGGAACGACGCCATCAACTAATCCTCGAACAAATTACAGAACTAACGAGTCACCCATTACTAGGCCAACTCGAATTACATGCTGGACTCGTGAAAAGGCGATTCCGCGACAGAGATCAAACCCGGACATCCAAAAAAAAAATGATGGAAAGATACATCTAACAAAGATCTGAACGAGGATCCACTCGAAAACCCAAGAAGACAAGGGATTCAGAGGAGAAATCAAGAGGAATCAAATTGAGGAAGCGTGCAGAAGAAGAGCTCGCCAGGAGAAGAGTGGGTGAGAGCTGTAGAGAAGTAGGCAGGGAAGAATTTGGGGTTAGCTGCTGAAAGGTGAAGAGTGAAGGAGGCGGAGGATTGAGAGAAGGTAACAAGGCAGGGAGCGGAAGAGCTCTGAGATTGGCGATGGGAGCGCTTAATGGAGTGTGAAGATTGAAGGAGGAAGGAGAAAAGGGAAAAGGTGGAGGTGTTGGTGGGTCGGGTTTGGGTTTGGGTCCGGTTCAGAGGAGAGATCCGTTTTATTTTAATTTATTTTGTTGGGAAGAAATAAAAAGGTCAGGCGCAGTTCACCATTCAAGGAGGAACACGTGGCTAGCTGAGTTGGAATTGTCTCATCCCTGGTGCGCGTCGGTTGCTCCTCGCATTCACATGCTAAGCCCGTCTCTTGTGAGTTTTGACTTTTGACTTTCCTTGCACATTCGCTTCCCATTTTTCCCTAACTAATTGAATGAAAATTTGTGTTTGATTTTCCATCGTTAAGAAGATTATCTTTCCATCTTCAAATTACATAAGGAGTAATAAGGTCCCAACAATGCCAATATATCAGTGCATATGTGACAAAATTCATGCCAAATTGAATAAGCTCGTTTGTAAAGAATCTTTGCTATATATAGTAAATTCACAAGAAAATTATGAATAGTATGAATTTTTTCATATTATATGCAATACATGAGAATTTTTTGCTTGCATATTTCTTTTCATTTTATCTTTGTTAATATTATTATTTTTAATCTTAATAATTTTTATTTTCATAATTGATTTTTTTTTAGTTTGATTAAAAAATTCAAATCTAATTTTATAGAAAAGTGAATTTTCATTATTAAAAACTTAAAATTCCAAAATATAGAAATTATCTGAAGTGATTAAATTCATGACAGTTATTCATCCTTTTTTTTTCAAAACTAGGTGGCAGTCAAGTCAAGGCTCTGTTGTCACTGAAGATACTCTTATTATTTTTAAATTGTCCTTAATAAAATTAATATTCATTTTAACTAAAAAAAATTTATTTTATTAATTACAGAAATAATTTGATTCGATTTCTTTAATTTCATAAATAATTATGATACTTAATTAACTTTTTTTAAAATGACATGAATTAATTTTTTTAATATTTAAAAGCAGAAGGAGTATCAAAAATTGTGTGTATGCTCGTGTGAAGAAAAGTGCTCGCTTGAATCACATTGTTTGTTGGACAATTATGCGTCCTTTGTTTTTTTTTTTCCCTGCATAAATTGTTATTTGTCCTTTCTTGCCATTAAAATAGTGATAAAGTTAACTTTCTCCATAGTAGATGAATAGATGTTGTTGGAAGGATTTCTCGAATTTACATGACTTAATTGATTTTCCGACATGAGTATGATCATATGAAGGGTCATGTGGGAAGTCAAATCTTTATTTAAGGTTAAATTTAATTGTAATAAAGTCTCGCCAAGTGAAGTAATGCTCACGCCAAAAAAGGGGCATAAAGTTATACTTTGGACATCTAGTCTTCGTTACACAGCTCGTATTCTAACACGCACGCACAGGGAAACAATTAAACTCATGATTATTAAACATAATGAGGTTGGCCAAATACCTTGTGATTGGCCTCTTACTTGAGATGCTTCCCTTCTTGTTTAGATAATCATAGTCCCGCGTCGCGCTTGGTCTCTCGTATCTTGAATGACAATCCACCTTCCAAGTGTTTGTGTTTCGTATTTTACCGCCAGAGGGAGATTACGGAATCGCGTTTGAGATGTTATATTAATTTTTTAAAAAAAATCAAAATTTTACATTCCTCTTCTATTATTCTTTTTATGAATTTTTCCTTGTAGTTTTTCAAGCAGGAGTTGCTAAAACATTGCTTGTATCGTTGCACCTAGAATTTTAATAGCGATGTGAAATGCGTGCATCCTAAATATTTTATTTTTTATTCTAATATTTTATATTGCGATACACTACTACAAAAAATAAATTTATTAAATGATTATTTTTGTTAACATTAAATAGTTATAAACCACGGAATAATGCAGTACTGAATATTCCCCGAGCTTCTATTCAATGGTTATTAACTTTTCAATATTCTTTTTTATTTAATGGTTTTCATCCCGAAATTGTTTAATATTTGTTTCAGGTTTGGAGGGGTGTAATTGGGAATCCATTTATTAAACGGTTTTCTGCCAATAACCATTTAAAATTGTGACAGTTTTAAACGGTCATGACATCAAATCCATTTAATGTTTGAAAATATAAAATGGTTATAACAAGAATTTGTTTTATATTGATGCACTATTGTTTTTCGTTATAATATTAAATGATTTTTCTTGATAACCGTTTAATATAAGACCAAATTTTTTAAAATAAGGAGCTACATTTTTATCACATCCTTGCATTGTACATTAAAAAATCAAATTACAGCTACAACACTTAGAAATAAAATTTTAGAAGCCAACATATATATGAAATATATATTATGAATTCCTACACAAAAACTATCTACAATTTGCAATTGTTTAAGTTAAACCAATTAGTGATGAAAATAAGGTACTAAATCTCAAAAATTAGCCAAGTATATCTATATCATTTATTTACTCAATATTGCTGGTTGTTATAGCTAAATTATGCTTGAAAAATAATATGTGTTAGCTCTTTAAAGACTTCTTCCATTCAAGTTTTAATAAATGTGTCACAATATGCATGCTCACAATATTGTACGCAAAAACAACAACGACAAATTAAAGTTATGTTAATTTATAAAAAGAATATAATGATGAGAAGGTTGACAGTATATATATTGTCTAGAAAAGTTTCAATGGGAGTGTGTTGGATTATACCCTTCATGTATTTTGTATTTTATGATAGCATATCCACAATTCCTAACTTTATCTAATTGTTCTAGGCACTATGAGCACATATTGGATAAAAAAATGATCAACTAATATTATAAAATGACCTACATGGCTACATTGCTAACATTATTAATGATAAATATGTAACATCTCAATTTAAATTTTAATAATTGATTTGGGTTAATAGAAATTTTAAAAAAATATTTAGAGGTAAGCAAATTAGTAGAAAATAATTATTAAATCTAACTTAGGATATAATTCTAAATTAAATTTTTTTAAAAAAATTATTAATTAATTAATTAAAAAAATAATATTATTAAATTATTATTACTATTATAAAAAAAAAGAGAAAAGGTATGAATAAAAAAAAAAGAAGAGGAGAACAAAAGACTTTCGGCCGCTACATGCATGATGTGTATAAAATAATAAAAAAAGAAGAAGAAGAAGAGAGAGGAAAGAAGAAATAAAAAAAAATATATAGGACCCACTAAATTTTTATAAAAACTTACCCGTTTCCTTTCGTTTCTTCAATTCTTTTCCTGTGCGCGAGCTGAGGTGGAGAGAACGCGAGTCGCTGATGCGAAATATCTAAATTTTTAAGGTAAAAGCTTTTAATAGGATATTTAGGGTGTGATTTTAAGCTTTTCTAAATTAAGTAAGTGTTTTAAAAAATTTTCTTAGCCATCCTTCTTCTTTGATTTCTGAGTTTGTAGTGGTAGAAAATTTAAGATCTGAAAGAGGGATAAATTTATGTTGAATAAATATAGTTTTTGAGGTTGTTAGTAATATAATAAATGTTCTAGAGTATAAATTTATTGATGATCTTTGAATTTGTGGCTTATGGATCAAATTTTAAACTAGATCTGAAAATATATGTTAATTTATTGAGGTTTAGATGATTATTTGGGATGAGAAATGAATTATTATGGTTATAGAATTATGATTTTAAGCTAGAGACTCAATTTTTAATTTTTGGGTATTTTAGGTACGAATTTATGAAATAAAAAGAAAATTTTGATAATAGCATTTAGTTTAGAAGTTGATTTTTAGATTATTAATATTTATTGATAATTAAAAGAGGAGTTCAAAAAATTTTACTTAATAGTATTAACTCTAGATTTGTATTAAGATTGAGATTAGGAATTATGTTATATTTTTAATTCTATTATTAGAATTATTTTATTAGTTTCAAAAATTGAAACTAATATTTATAAATAATATGTTATTTGTAGATTGTATTATTGGTGAAGATTGTGGTGAGAGAGAAATTTTAAGGAATAATTTATTAAAAAAACCACAAGGTAACCATGCTTTTAATTTGTGATTAGTGTTACTTGATGTTAATTGGGTGATTATTGAGAAAATTATGAATTTTGTAATATTGTATAATTGTGCAATATTATTATGAATTTGTTTAATTATTGTGGGAGGTGTTGAGAGACTTGCTATTATTGTTGTATTTATGTGCCACGTGGTACGCCCCTATTGGAGCTCAATAGGTGGCTTGTAAGGGCTAGGGCTAATCTATCTTTGGCCGGGTAATTTAACACCGAGTGAGAGCTACGGCTCGAGGTTAATGGAAGGATATAAGGATGGTTGTTTGTGTGTATTGTAATATTTTTTATATTTGTTGGAATTATATTATTTTTAATTCTCACTTAATAAGCACACACTTAACTGTTTGTATACACTATCATAAATCGGCTTTGGTTACTGAGACTTTTGAGTCTCATTATGTGGTTAACAATTTTCAGGAGAAGAGCCACGAGTGACGCGTGAAGGAGTCTCAGAGGCTTAGTGGTTTAGATCTACTGTCTCTTTTGGGTATTTGATTTATGATTTATAATGTGTTATATTGTCAATATTAGGGCTTTTTGTTTATTGACAATTATATAAATATATAAGTGTAATCATGTCTTTCAAACTATTTCTATTTTTGGTATACTTTGGATAACTGTAATTTTAATATTTAATTTACTTTGGATTGGTTAAAATGTCATGATTATGAGGCCAAATAATTATCTCGTGTTGAAAATTGACTAAATTGTTTAGTTTACTTGTTGGGAGTATAAGGATGGACAAATGTGATTTAGCCTAATGGCATGTGGGAGGTAAAAATTTATCTGAAATGTTATATTGTGTGAGTTGAAGCCAATTATAAAATATTTTATATTGAAATTATTGATATAAAAATATGTTGGGTGGCTGTAACCCAACTATGGTTGAGTTAAATTATTTAAAAAAAAATTGGTGTGTTACAAAATATATATACATTGACAAACTATTCATGATGTCGTTGTGTC